GTGGGGGATGGACATCGTCGGCCCCCTTCCCGCAGGACGAGGTAACGTACATTTTCTTTTAGTTTTGACTAACTATTTTTCTAAATGGGTAGAAGTAGGAGCATTCGCTCAGATACGAGAACAAGAAGTGATTGTCTTCATATGGAGAAACATCGTGTGCCGCTTTGACCTTCCTAAAGAGATCAGCTGCGACAACGGACCCCAATTTACTGGAGAAAAGGTCGCTGAATTTTTCGAGAAGCGGCATTTCAAAAGAATACTCTCCACCCCATACCACCCCGCGGGCAACGGGCAAGCGGATTCCTCCAACAAATCAACATTAAACATCATGAAGAAAAAACTTGAGGACGCCAAGGGACTTTGCCAGAGCTACTGCCAGAAGTGCTATGGGCATACCGCACAACGCCAAAGAAGAGCATATGAGAGACGCCTTACTCATTAGTCTAAGGGACTGATGCAGTAATACCAGTCGAAGTCGGAGAGCCCAGTATGAGATACTCCCATGAGAGGGGGTCGAGGAACGACGAAAGTAGAAGGCAAGACCTCGACGAAGACGAAGACAAAGAACGAAGAGATATGGCCTACATAAGGATGATTGCCCAAAAACAACAGGCAGAACGCTACTATAACAAAAAGGCCAAGGTGAGACCACTCAAAGTCAGGGACTACGTGCTCAAAGCCAAAACAGAAGCAAGCAAAGACCCCCGGGAGGGCAAACTGGGAACGAATTGGGACGCCCCATACAAAATCATAGCAACAGCAAACAAAGGGTCATTTTCCCTCGCTTGAGTTTTGTCCCAATTGGGTTTTCTCAAAGAGGTTTTTAATGAGGCGATAAGGGGACACTCCAAGTTGAAGTACGGACGGAAAAGGCACGGGACGGTCAATTCATCGCCCGACCTCTCGACACATATCCAGGTCGCCCAATGAAGGGACTAGATAGACCGGGACTGGAATGCCAGCCCGAAAAACATGTAAATTTTTCCAAGTATGAGCAAAGCACAAATGTAGGTTCGCCCATGTTTCCAGAACAACATTGCCTCGGTATCTACTCGGCCCACGACCACAATCGAATAAATAACATTCGACCTCGTTCGAACTAACTAAAATGACATTCGACCTCGTTTGAATTAACTCACATTCAACCTCCTTCGAATTAACTCACATTCGACCTCGTTCGAATTAACTAAAGTGACATTCGACCTCATTCGAATTAACTCACATTCGACCTCGTTAGAATCAACTAAAGTGACATTCGACCTCGTTAGAATTAACTCACATTCGACCTCGTTCGAATTAACTAAGTGACATTCGACCTCGTTCGAATTAACTCACATTCGACCTCGTTCGAATTAACTACAGTGACATTCGACCTCGTTCAAATTAACTCACATTCGACCTCGTTCGAATTAACTCACATTCGACCTCGTTCGAATTAACTCACATTCGACCTCATTCGAATTAACTCACATTCGACCTCGTTCGAATCAACTAAAGTGACATTCAACCTCGTTCGAATTAACTCACATTCGATCTCGTTCGAATTAACTCACATTCGACCTTGTTCGAATTAACTAGCGACTTTCGACCTCGTTCGAATTAACTCACATTCAACCTCGTTCGACTCAATTAAAGTGAAATTCGGCCTCGATCGGACTAACTAATGCTCGACCTTGCTTGAATCGACTCACATTCGGCCTTGTTCAAATTAACACCTACCAGCCCCGGCCACGACCAAAACCAAAATTCTTATGATTAAGGTGACCAAACGATAGAAGCATACAAGACCAAACAGAGAAAAGATTCAGAAATGAACAGCAAAAATAGCATTTCATACTTCAAAAAGTATTCTTTACAAGGGCTAAACAGACGCCCACAAAAATATGCACAAATTACAAACCAAAGAAATAACTACTCGCCACCCGACCCAGCAGCGCCATCTCCACCATCACCATCAGGATATTCTTCCTCGTACCAGGCATCTTGCTCAATCGCATCCAAATCCTCCTCGCCATCACCGGTCCCCGGTGTAGTAGGGTCATAGCCGCAGGCAATCCGAGTTGCATGCGCCTTAGCACGAGCACCCTCAAAATCAGTCTCAGGAACTATCCTTGCCGTCATCAAATCTCTAAATATGTCCAGCTAGGCCTCGACATGGATCCACTTCTCATATAAATCCCGCGGGACATCAGGAAAGGCAGAAGCATGAGAGGAGGACAGTTGAGCCAATAGCCAGGACTTCTCGGCCTCAAGAGCGGCGACTTGGTCTTCAAGACCAGAAACCTCTTTCTCTAGCTCCACTATCCGCTCATAAAGCCGAGCTTCCCTGAGCTTAGACATTTGTAAATTGTTTGCCCGCTCGGATCGAAGAATATGGAATTTATGTACCTTATGTTTAGCGATATCCTCTTTTTTCTGTCACAGGATTTGAGAAAAAATCAGAGGTGCTGGACAGTGGTCTTCTTAGACTACTCGGTTGGTTAAGGACACTAGCATGAAATCTACTCGTTAAGCTAAAAAAACATATGACAAACTTCTCAAAAAAAAAAAAAAAAAAAAAAAAAGAATAAAAGCATATGACAATACTTTGGCAGTCAAGTGATTGCTTTCTGCAGAAACATCTAATATAAGGCACAGGTTTATTTTGTTGGGCAGTGCATTGGTTAGTGCCAAAAGTTTTACTTCAGGAGGTTATTACCTCTTATCTTCTTATGTAAATGAACTGGAAATGAGATCCAATTCAGGTCATAAGATATTGAAAGCTCTTTTGATTTTGCAAATCTATTCAATGTCTAATGTGGATCATTTGTTATAACATTCTGGTAACAATCAAATCCATAATTATGGAACAAAAGAAAATTCCCCAGGTATATGTTGTATATCACATTGATGCAAACGTTATTCTTCTGTGACAACCAATTTTGAAATGTAGCTACACTACTGAGGTACAGAATAGCAACAAGAATACACCCTTCAGTCCACTTGGCATCTATTCTGGTCCATTGTCAAAAAGAAAATCCTTGTGAGCAAGTAGCAGTACCACAGCTTCTGTTGAAGATGCATATTGAATCAAAGTAGCCAGGCTAGAGGTTCAATGGAACATAGAGTATAAAGTTCTGTCTGAACTGTTTCTGCTGAATCCACACTAAGAAGGTGATCAATTGGATGAGCAAGCATAAATCTAAATGGGTTGATATTATGAACATTGGTTCCGTCAACAGAAAGGAACGAACAAGTAAAAAATACAAAATGGAATGCTAAGGAGGATCACAAAGTTGCCCTTTCATCTCTGATGCCTGACTAATCTTTACAGCATAATGCAATCCAAGTTTTTGTTTCACACACTTGTGTAGATGTAATACTAATGCCTGACTAATCTTTACAGCATAATGCAATTGAAGTTTCTCTTTCACATACCTACGTGCACAGGCGGATCCAGGATTTGATAACTGCGGGTGCCATAATTTTTAATGCAAACTTACCATTAATGAAGGAAATTGAATTAGGTTGTACATTTAGTTGGTTCGATCCGTTTTGAATTAATTCCACTTAATTGATTTGATCCATTTTAAATTTATTTCGATTTATAAGATTTTTTGTGATCACCAAATTAAATAATTTTTTTCCAATTTGATATAATTCTCTCAATTTAAATTCTATTGAATTATGTGATTAAAAACATAAAAAATAGCAAATACACCCATTTTATCTCCATATAGCTAGAGACTAATATTATGTCTATTGATACCATCATTGCAAAAAAAAAAAATAAAATAAAAAAAAAAATTGGAAACCAAGGAATAACATTAGATGGGTGAAAAGAGAAAATAATTATAATCACATCCAAACAAAATTTTGAGATTTTGAAAAGAGGAAAGAAAAGTATATTTTAATATACTATAGAATGGAATTGTACAACGAGACTACGAGAGAAAATAGAAAGATAAAGAAATAAAAAGAAGTTAAGAAAAGAGCAAAAAGAAAAAAAGAAAAGGGACATGAAACGACACGAATAAAGGAAAAGCTTTGGAATTTGTTGGGATTCGATCTTGCATCATAGGGCTGGGAGTTACAAGTTTAACCATGCCACCTACAGTCACTACAAAAAACCAAAATTATTGTGGCGGTTAGATAATGGCGGTTCTGAAAAACCGCCGCAATACATATCAATAATACGGCGGCATTCCAGACGCCATTAGGGCATTTATGTTAAAAAGGCATTTTTTTAAATTACGACGGTTCAAACCGCCACTAGTTACACCAGTTTTTAATAATTCTTTTCCCTCTTTATTTAGAACTCCCCTGCTAATAATTTAATACTTATAAAATATACTAAAATATACTAAGCCTTAAAACATATGTAAACAACATTTTATACGCCCCTAACTCTACGCCTTCTCTCTCTCTCTACCTTTCAAACGGTCTTCTCTCTCTCTATACGCCCTCTCTACGCCTTCTCTCTCTCTCTCTCTCTCAAAACGATGATTCCCCCAAATTCTTTAGCTTTTATGTAAGGAGATCAGATTCCAACTCGTTTAAGGTAATGTGTTTGAATTCGTCTATAAATGCCGTTGATTTCACTGATTTAAGGCGTGCAAGTGTGTGTATTGGATGGATATCAGTTTAAAGCACCGATCTTAGCCGTGAATTTCACTGATTTAGGTTTCGATTTTACTGATTTAGCCATTGATTTCATTGATTTTAGGCGTGCATGTGTGTGTATTGGACGAAGATCAGTTTAAATCACTGATTTTAGCTGTCGATCCACTGCTTAAGCCATCAATTTCACCGTTTGGCAATCGATTTTATTGATTCAGCCGTCGATTCACTGTTTTAGCTCTCAATTTCTGCTAACAGTTTTATTTCTTTTTTCGTTTATTTTTGTGTCAAGTTTTTGTTACTTTTCTGTTCAATTAAGTTTGTGTTTGTTTAAATTTTGACATTTTTATTTTTTGTTCTGCTAATATTAACCTAATATCATTTATGGCCTTGATAGGTAGCCGAGGAATCTAAAACAGCTGGTAAAGCTATTGGGATCGACGTGGACAAAATTATATTTGATAGGTATAGCTCTTGTCAGTTAACTTTATCCTTTCTTTTGAGCAGCTTTCTTTTTTTTAAAGGTAAATTTATTCTCTCTTAATGTTGAGTTATTTATGTGATAAATAATAGCAGTAATCCAAATTGGTTTCTGACATTACGTTTTGTGGCGCTGAAATGTGTTGCTTAAGGATGGTCATACATCCTTTCTTTGTACTTCTTTCCTGATATTGCTTAAATTGTCTAGTTTTAAAGTTCTCGTAGCGCATTATCTTATCTGATTGACGATTTAGTGAATTGTGTATGCAGTTGCTAAGTGTTATTGTATATATATGCTCTCAGTTTATCTGGAATGTTATTAATGGCTATAAGGAGATTGTTGACTATTTTCCTGTGTTGTATATTTGCTTCTGTGATTGTGACCATGGACATAGGACTTGCTTTATTGCAGACTGGTCTGATTAGCTTAACCAAGGATGGTTTATAATGAAAACAATTTCTAACCCCCGTCCCTGCCCCTTTCCCATCCCAAGAAGTAAAAAAGAGAGGCGGATAACTGTGTAGTTTGTTACTTCAGTTCACAGGTAAATCATCGTTAAGACTTTATTTTTGCAGCCAGTGGCCATAAACTGATTGTGTTAGTTTTATAACAGTTTGACTGTATTTCTTTTCCTTATTCTCCGTCTGGACGTAGTTATTCGAGTGCCTAAGAATAGCAGGTGTCTTTAACTATATAGATTCAGTCACTGTGCTCTGTTGTTACTGAAGTAAGCATAATTGTAAACTCTACAACCTGGAAGTAGAAACTTAAAGTGGCGCTACATAGTTAAAACTGAAACCTTGCTAGATTATTTGTAAGCTACAACCTGTAAACTCTACAACCTGTAAGCTACATAATTAAAGCAGAAACTTGCACTGCTTGACACTTAACACTATCTTTTCTAGATTTAGGTCTTTTCGTATTCAGAAGTGCTTAATCTTTAAAGTACTTGGATTCTTGTATGTTCCAAAACTAATTTGAAGATATGGATAGTTCATGCATGTTGTAGTTTTTGTTTTTTGAATAAGTTGCACATGTTCTTTTCTTTGTTTATTTCTCGCTTTGGTTTCCGTTTATTCTTCAGAAGTTATAAAGTGAGATTAAGTGATTACTATTCTTTTGATTTCCATATAGTGGCTATGAACTAGCTTTTTCATTTTGATATAGTGATGTTATCTTATATCTTCTTTTCTAGCCATGCCAATTGATAAATCTTGGATTAGCAAACCACGAAATACACTTGAATATGCGGATGGGCTTAGAAAATTTCTGGATTTTGCTTTTGAGTATGGGTCTATTGATGGACGTGTAATTAAGTGTCCGTGTCCGAAATGTGGTTTTAAGAAGTGGCAAAGAAGAAATATAGTTGAAGAACACCTGACTTGTAAGCCTTTTCCAAAAAATTATAAAGTTTGGTATTTGCATGGTGAAGAATCAAATGTAACTATGCCACAAACGTTTCAGAGCACACATGTCATAGAAGAAACTCTGCAGCCCCAAGATCCAATGGTAACCATGGTTAACGATGCATTTGGGTTCATGGGGAACAATGTCAATAAGCCTGGTGTGTCTTGTGAGCCTATGAATAGTGAAGAAACAATTAATGAAGGGCATATTGATGGGCATAATGAAGATTATGCAAAGTTCTATGAACTGGTCGAAGATGGCAATCAACCATTATACGAAGGGTGCGCGAAGTATTCCAAATTGTCCTTTCTAGTCAAATTGTATCATATCAAGTATTTGTGCCGAATGACTAACAAAGCGATGAGTATGATATTAGAATTGTTAAAAGATGCCTTTGAAGATGCCAAGATTCCTGTTTCTTTTTACGAGGCCAAGAAAACCATCAACAAACTTGGCCTTAATTATACCAAGATCCATGCTTGCCCAAACTATACGCTAACTTAACTGCCGCAATTACTACCGTCTTTTGTAGTGAGTTAAGTTGTGATGTTGGGTGTCAAGCTTTAGTATATAACTCTTTTTATGTAAAATACCAGTACATAGATACAATTTTACCCGAGCGCAGGGGCGGATTTACATGGACCCGAGCGGTGTCACGGGACACCGTTTCGTCGAATTTTTTTACTATTTATATATATAAAAATAATAAGTAAAACAGAAATACAAGATAAAACCATCAAAAGTGACACCACTTGCAATAAAACAACTCATTAGTCTAATGGTTGACAGCTTCATGTTTGTTGTGAGAGCTCTAGGGTTCGAACTCCCTTCGCTCCTCAATATATTTTTTGATTGTTACGGGCCTCTTACTAGATCCGCCCGAGCGACCGGGTGGCGTGGCATCCCAAGTCAACTACGTAGATCCGCCCCTACCTACGTGGATGATATACACAAGCAGTTTATGTTTTATCACTGACATAAAGTTTACCAGGCTTTAAGGCCTATGGGATGCCATTGCTTACACTCTTTTGCTTCTCTTCTCACCAAAACCAGTGTCTTGCATCACCGCCACAAATTCACTGTAATCAATCCATCCTGAAAAAGAAAAATAGATAGAGAATTAATTGATATGAGCATTCTTCTTACCTGATTCATGAATGTCATGATCTTATCTATGTTCCCACGTTTAACCATGCAATATATTAGAAATAGAACTCTGAACATGAGAACAATGGGGTTTACATTATCTTGATCAACTGCACGCATAAGCTCTTCAATGGGGATATCGCTCAAACCAAACTTATCACAAGCCTTTTGGAGCTCATCCTGTGTGATATATCCGCTACCATCTTCGTCAAAATATGAAAAAGCAGCATACATGTGATCTTCCTTCTGAATTTTGTTTAAATGGAGCATAGCAGCGATAAACTCGTCATAGTCAATGGTACCACTATTATCAATATCTGCCTGAATTTTCCACACAGAAAAGTTGTTTAGTAAGGATCTTTTTTGACAGTTTATTTTTAAGATCTGATATGCCAACATGGTTTGAAATGCTATTTAAGCTGTCTATGATGTACATAAGCGTGCTCTGGAACATAATAAAAAGTATCACTTACCGCTTGCATTAAGCTAACTATTTCTGAATCCTTCACATCGGCACCCACTCTTTCCAAACCCTTTTTCAGTTCTTCTAGCGTAATATTTCCACTGTTATCTGTGTCTATCATTTTGAACATTTCCTTCAGTCCTGCAGCGATTTCCTCTTCAGACAGACTTTCAGCAATTACCTAAAATGCAAACAGAGATTGCTCAAGTGTAACAACTAAAAATCAGTACTACTTGATACAGTAATATGTTTCGATGTCCTTTTCCTGTTCCTGATTTTAAAATTAGCGAGAAATGAGTATAAGCGTGGCACAGCTATCTCTCTCTCTCTATATATATATAACCAAATACATGCCAATTAGGAAGAAAATGGAAAGATTACTAATTAGATTAGCCATGGCATTTTCTTTCTTGAAAGGATTGTCACCCTTGTCTTTCTGCAAAAATGCAATGAATGCCATTACTAAGGTAAATTCAGTGATGACAGGTCTGAACTATTAGAATAACTTACTCTGACTGCTATCTTCTTTAATTTGTTCATTGCAGAAAACTGATTGAGACGACTTAGGACAGCACAATCAAGAGGCTTATCTGGAGCAACCCCACCAACACGGACCCATGGATGACCTGACATAGATAATACATATGTCATTCATGTAAAATAGCATTTGTGTGGTACTTAAGCGTACAAGCAGAAGTTGATGCCCTTTCTTTTAAAAAGAGAAGCCCCCACCCAAACACCGCCCACCCCCCAAAAAAATATATATTGGTCTGTGTTAATCTCACTCAAAGAAGCTCCTATAGAAGATCTGAAATCATCTTCATACTCTAACCCTTTTTAACATATAAAAAAGGTCAAAAACACAAAGCAAGAATCTATTACTCTTGGAATCTAGGTCCTCTGATTACATGTCTCAAGTCTCAACGAGCCAACAACTTGGCCAAACTCCAAATCTATAAACTTTAAGCTGCACAAAACCTGAGTTTGAGATATACCACTGGTTTAATTCAAATTTTTTTCTTAACGTTATCTGATTTCAAGATGTAGCAGAAAATTTTGATGTTTACATATCCTCTAATTCAGGTATAGAATGCACATGAGCGGATGTGTATCCAGAAAGAAAATGCAAGAACCTAAATATATCTGGTTCCTTAATATAGCAGATGCTGCGATCAGGAAAAGCTATTGTCGGTGCTGAGTGCTACCAGTTCCAAGAACTAAATCTATTGGGCATTTCCAGTTACTCTCATCAAAACTAAGTGATCTTCCATTTTCTTTAAAACATTGGAAATAATGGTAAAACAAAGACTTTTCAACAACAGAAATATGACTATATTTCCAGAAAAAGTAGAGAAGAATATTTAAGTAAGTTGTATAATAAGAATAACTTTAGAAGCATATCGACACAGTTGATAATCTATCTGAGCAAGCAATTGATCCAGCGGACAAGGCCTATGATCCAGAGAAGAAACGATGGGAAGCATCATTATATACTGAAAACATACATAACACTGAGAAGAGCATAAAGGATCAGACTGGTGAATACTGCATCTTACAAAGAACTTCATGGGCTGTCAACCGCTTTTTGGGATCTCTCACAAGCATTTTTCTGACTAGATCTTTTGCACTTTCTGATATAGCAAGCCAAGGTTCTGATACAAAGTCAAGTTCCCCTTTTAAAACCTGTTCAAATATTCCTTGCTCCATCTCTGGTGCAAAACATCAAAATTCATAAGCCGCACGGACTTCATGTTGCTTCAAGTATTATAGGATCAAAATGCAAAGGAAAAAAGTCAAAAAAATCTTACCATCCCAATATGGAGGAACACCACTAAGTAGTATATAAATAATGACTCCTGCACTCCAAATATCACACTCTTGACCATAATGCTTCCGCAACACTTCTGGCGCCACATAGTAAGGACTTCCAACGACATCACCGAAGGTTTCACCTGAGTGCACCATATTTGTATTCTTGATTAGGTGAAAGAATACAGCTCATAAAACAGCTAGAGGAAACCAGAAGAACAGGAACTTATTCTTATAATTTCATTTTATCTGAAATAACTAAAGTAAAACTAAAAAGATAAAGATTGAAATGAAAGTAATAATAGTAGCCTATTATATGAACAGTAAACACTCTGCCTTAATAAGCTTAATGTGAAAATAGGTATGAAAATAGCAGGTCATATTATTCTGTGACTTCTGCTCTAAGAGAAGGCAACGTCAAGCAGACACCCTACGATTCTTTAGTTATGAAACAAGATAGAACAGCCCATACTAACATTCCGAAAATCAAGCAAGTAAATGCTAACAAAGAGCAATACCATTTTCTCCATTTTAGAGTTTTTCACTACTTTCAAAGATGTCTTTATAAGTACATTCATGCTCTTTGCTACTATTAAATCAGGATTAGACTAGTTGAAACTTAAAAGAATCATTAAGAACAGTGTATAGAACATGTTTAATGATTATATTAAGGTGGAAAGTCTAGAAAATCATTATTTTCAGAATATTTCTAATGAGTATTTCATAATAATTAATAATCCCAAGAATTAGAGAATTTTCCTCATATTTTGGAGCTCAAAACTCCTACAATAGGAACCTCCTATATGTTGTTAATAACCAACTTCAAAAAGAGTTTTTTGCTCTCTTCTTTTCTCTTTCGCATGGTATTAGAATCTTTACAATTTTGGTAGAGACTTAAGTAATGTCTGCCTACAACAACTACACCTCAATCTCAAAACTCAGATTGGGGAGTGCCTTCCTACTAATGACCAGAGTTATGCCATAAGGTTTTATTTTCTTGTGATGCCTTCCTACTAATGACCAGAGTTTCACTGGCCAGTGAAACTCTTCAGCCACCAAGTCGAACTATATCCTGGAGATTCCAGTCACAATTTTTCTTTCCATTGATTGAGGATAGATTTTTTTTCTGTCTGCTGTGAGAATCACTTTTTCTGCTCTGCAATAAGAACCTCTCTTGTACGTTGTTAATAACCAGCCACAAAAAATAGACGCTGTCGAGGTCGTTTGCGCCGCCGTCGTCCGAGCTCCGGTCTTGGTTCGAGAGTTCCATACATTTAGCTCAAGTTTTTTTGGCCAGTTGCTTTGGTGGTTGATTCAAAGATCGGGCTTTTCAATGGAGTTTTTTCATGTTTAAAATAAAGAAGTCGCTATTAAAAGGTCATGTTCTAACTTTACCTATCTTTCTAATTTCCAGATCTTGTGTCATGGTTTTTGAATTATTTTGTTTGACTTCATTTGTTTCCGTCTGACTTGCTTGCTTACGAGACTAGTGGAGGCTTTCTATTTAGTTAACTGTAGATAACTAGCTATTATGTTTTCTATTTTCTCTTGGAATTAAAGGGATATGAATATTGTTTCATTAGAAAATAAGCATATTCGATGAGTATGCTCAGCTTGGAATTAAAGGGATATTGGAAAATTGGGATCAGGTACTGTCTTAAACGAGGTTAAGCAAAAATATTTTTTATTTAAATAATTGCAAGAAGTTATTTCGTTTGTTGCACTCCTGTGTTATACATGATTTTGCATTCGGATCAAATGTTCCTTTGCTGAAGTAGACTATTAGATATGTATGCATTGCTTCAAAGTAGCAGATCATATATGTTGTTTATTGAATCTCCAAGCAAAAAGAAAAAAGAAGACTGTTTCAATTCTAAAACTCACCGGAAAATAATACTCGAGGGGATCTCTATCAAATTGTATGTCGAATTTGAGATAGAATTTTAAAATATTGACTTGAATGGGAAGTGGTAATTAATGTTAGGGGCACTAGAATACATGAAAAAACAATGGAGCTGACCCGAATGCAAAAAAGAAGAATTGTCATCTCTTTCCACGAACGGTAGTTTGCTTTAGGCACGTTTAATATATCGTCGTGATTGTGGAGACGTTCGCGTGACATGATTACGATTCTAAAAATGAATCGGGGTATGCGTTCGCGCAACTTCGACTAAACATTCTTAATAATAACAAAGTGTTATTAATTGTGGACACGTTCGCGTGACATGATTTTTGACGCACCAAACAAACGGGTACACGTACGCATGACCTGTTTTAAAATAACTTCGCATGACCTGTTTTAAAATAACTTCCTAATTAAAAGCGGCTAATGCACATAGGTTTTAAAATTGAGTAATTAAACAATTTGATTAAGTCAAGTATGATCAAAGCGACCGTGCTAGAACCACGGAACTCGGGAATGCCTAACACCTTCTCCCGGATTAACAGAATTCCTTACCCGGAGCATGATGAGCTAAAAGCCCAGGTCGAGACCCAGAAGGATGCCTGGCCAAGGCCTCCGCCCTTGAGGTGCAGTTCCAGAACGTTCGTGCGAACACCCTGGTCCGAACGAGCACGATTGCAAGGCTCGAATCTGAAATTTTAAAGATGAAGGCAGACATCGTGGATGCCCGGGCCGAAGCCGTAATGAGCCGAACTAAGGCTGACAAGAAAGTGGCGGTCTATTTGAAGGACGCTGCCGATGCTCGAGCTGAGCTGAGAAGGGCTCTCGACCGTGAGAGCAGAAGCTTGGAGTATGCGCGGTGCAAATCTCGAAGGGAAACCCTCGAGGAGATCCATGCTAGGGGCTTTGATCTATCGGAAGAGATAAAGCAGGCAAAGGCGGACGAATATGACGTTAAGTTCTTTCTGTCCGATGCCGAAGATAACGAGAAAGAGACCGATGGGTCGTAGTCCCTGAGAGGGACGTAGATTAGGCCTTTCCTTTTCTAATTTTGTATATAGTACTTTTAAAGTACATTGAGCTTGTATTCTTTCATATATGTGTACAAAAAGAAGTCTTGCGACTTCGTTTTTCATGTACCTTTTGATGTTTGTTAACCATCAGCCAGAAGAACTGGTCTTCGAGTTAAAAGGAATCCTTAGATTCATAGTATGGCCCTGGGCTTATTAGGCTGGCCCGTAGGCTCTTACGCGCTTTGGTCGGTATGACCTTTTAGTATTAGCCGATGTTTGAGCTCTTATGTTTTTGCTCTTTGGCATATTCAGTTAACTGTTTCGGGCTCAGTCTCTGAGTCGGGTTTCGACTCGAGCTCATTTGACCCTTAAGTTTTTGATTTAAAGCTGGCCCTTAGGCTCTTACGCGTTGGGTCGGTACGACCTCTAGTATGGGCTGGCGATAGTGGCTCTTACGCTTTAGGTTGGTACGACCTTTTATATGAGCTGGCTTCAGTGGCTCTTACGCTTTAGGTCGGTACGACCTTTTATATGGGCTAGCGACAATGACTCTTACGCATTGGGTCGATGCGACCTCTAATATAGGCTTTATTTTTCCCTCGTTAAGTATTTTTGAAATTGTGTTTGCATGACTCTTCGACGGTTTGATAAAAACCTCGATTGTGAGTCGTTATATGTCGATGATCGAGCACCTCGGGAGGTTTGGCTCGATGGCTGAGTATCTCGAAGCCTGTAGTTAGGAGCTGACATGGTCGAAGCTCTTTTGCCTATGTCGAGGGTAGCCTGTTTAACCGGTTCTTTTTGATGTTTTTTCGAAGTAATTGAAGTCCTGTGATTTTATAGCGATGGTCGGGCGTCCCCGAGTCGCGTTAGTTTGGCTGGTACAACCTTGTGACCGTAGTCATTGTGTTTGGCCGAAGCCTTTCAGTTCCCGAGTGAAGTAGTTTCGGCGTCTATATCGAGGGTATGCCTTTTTAGGGGTCTTACAAGTTCGATATATAGCCTTAACTTTAAAATCGGGTTTATGCC